TTTATAATAGGACTTTAACGGTAAGTAGTCTTTCCCCGAGATAAAAGAAAGTAAATGAACTAAAAAATTACACATTACATTGAGAGAATGAATTTAAAGGGAAGTAGTCGTCGCGCTACATATGCGCAAGTTATGGGTCTCATATAAACAAAGATGGCAACTTTGACTGTTGCGCAGATCAACTGAGACATTACCTTTAATTAGGTAATTTTTTGGCGATTGGAAGGAAGTCGTCACTGGTAATAAGTGTAATAAGTGCAAGACGTGCCCAGGTCAAAAACTTGTGTTTTCATTAGAAGAGAGCATTGGATTGTGGGAAAATCAATGTTTATCAACAAAAATGTCGCACATGTGCAGTGCGACAACCACCACCCTTTAACTAATTTGCATAGAAATAAACTATTTTTATCTCATTTGCATAAAATAAACTTTTCCCTAAATATATTGGGTAGCTTGGATTACCAGATACACCAGATTTATTTTTTCTAGCCTAATTTTAATAGGCGCTGAAACAGGTGCACCCTCTTATATTAACAAGGTATCTGAAATGTGATATACGGTAAACTGCTCAATTGTCACTGATAAGAAACATTCGCGATGTGCTGATTCTCTAGCAGTCGCAACAAGTTTTGCAAAAGTTATAGGACCCTGAGAAACTTTTACTACTACAAAATTTCATGTTTTCACAGGCTTGAAAATTGGTCTTTCCTGAAATTATAGCGATTTACAATATTTTGTGCATAACACTCACATGCAGCACTGTCGCTTGATGTTCGGCCCTCCATATTTCGTTTTGTCCCTGAAAATAAAAATTATAAAATTAAATTTGTAATACGTATGTAACAAACAGATGTATAGATTAGATGAAATAATTTTTCTTTTTAATGTATTTTTTAAAAATAACATAACGCTGGCTTACCGACAAAATTCACACTTTCGACAGTCGACATCATTGAGACATCCTTCGCATTTCATACAACGTTTTTTGCTACGAAATCGAACTGATGGTTTTTTCTTCTGACAACTGTCACCGCCTTCTTTCTTTGGAGATCCTTGCGTCATGTTCGGTGTTTCATCTGCAGCTTCCTCTAATTTTTCTTAAATTAAAAAAAACAAACAATTTGTAACATATTTCTTATAGAATTTAAAATCTATTTTTGTTTTTCATTTATATAACATGTGCTACCATTAACAAATACAATATACAATCCGAGGTCTGGACTAAATGTTTATAAAATGTTAATTATCCCTTGAGGGCTATATATTTTCACGCCAAAATTTTGATACATCATTTCACTTATTTTATGCATTTTTTTTTTTTTATTTTGAGCAAATATGACCGTCATTTTTTTCTTGTACACAGATCTTGGTTAAAAATACAAAAAAAAAATTTTTAAATTCGTGCAGGTTTATTTAGTGAACTGTGACAAAAGTTGAATTTGATTTTTTCACCACCAGTCTTTCTCGCCCAAATCTTTCGGGTACTTTTTTCTGATATTTTTCAATATTTCTGAAAATTAACTATTATTAAGAGTCAAATGAAATAATTTGAGTCAATTTTTTGTTTTTACTCAAAGAAATTTTTCCCAATCTTCTGAGGGAAAGTGCAGACTATAAACGGGAATATTTTGTGATGAAAAGAGGGAAACGGTGGTGAATAAGTTAAAGGGTTATATTGTTTATACTGAATGCCACACATTAGCTGTTTTAAAGGGTGGTTTACTGCATAAGCGTAATACATGTAGATGCCTAAATTTTGACCATACAATGTATATGCAAAATAATTAAGGCTTGTACAAGCAGTGTACGACTATTACCTACTACTACTAACCACAAAGTCAGTGTGCTCTTTGTAGTGAGTAATACACACAATGAGTTCAATAATAATACACACACAAAATACCTAAAAAATACAATAAATCAATAAATCCAGTCTCAGAAACAAAAAATCACTGCCAACTCATGCCAACCCTTCTTGACACGGCTAGACATGATGTCCTTTCTCATGCAGCCAAAACGGCAATATTCGTTCAGGGTAGCACCTCATATATACCATATTTGCACATCTCCAATAGAAGTGCATATAAACCAAAAACCATATTTGTTGTATTCTGAATTATTAAAAAGATATCTATTTAAACAATAGATACACCTCTAAATTTTATCCCTCACTGCAATAAGTCCATTTTGGCAAGTCAAATGCTTAGTAAACCCACACTGTCAAACAATTAGTGAGCAAGTTTGCTGGCCAAATACTTAAAATAAAATTATTACAGATGTCTAAAAAAACAGAAAACACAAAATACTCACTTTCATCTTTTTTTATGAGCAGTTTTTCTTTTTCTCTTTCTGGAAGAGCGCTGAGTCGTACCTCATGGTCCATTTCCTCATACGTCGCCCGTGGTTGGCCTAAGGCAACTGCAGCTCGACGACAGACGTGCTTGATACGAGGACCTCGACCAGAAGCACTGCTTGTAATACTGTCCTTGTCTGAAGAGTCTACCTCTTCTGCCTGTATTAAAAGTTTTAATTGTCATAAAATCAAAAATTTAATTTTTGTAAAATAATAAATTAATAAATAGACACAGTACCAGGATTACTTTGGTGTAATTTTGTTTTCACGAGCAAAAACTAGAGATTTTTTTTATTTCCATTTTAATGTTCGAATACCATAAATTTAGGCAAAATTTTGTACCAAATTGTTGGGAAAAATTATGGGGTTTAGAATGTTTATTTGTTTGTGATTTCTTTGCTATTTTGGGACCCTTTGCTATTTCGGGATCATAAAAAGTAAGGAAAAATTATTTGTTTTTGTGAAAAGAGTTAATAATAACAAATACATACACTCATGGACGGCTTCTTGTTTTCTATATCTAGTGCTTTGGATGAACCTGAAATTAAAAAGAAAAAAACAGTAAAAATTAAGACAACTGAAACAGAAACAAGGCTGTAAGCGACAACAAGGAGAAAGAAATCAAGAGGTAAGTACAATTTAAGTCATTAATTAGGTGAATTTAGAATAATGGACATTGCTTACATGTTAATTATGCTAATCAAATATTTACAAGTTAGTGTATTATTATTAATTACTGCTTAAATTGATCTAATTAAAATAAAAAATTATTGCAGAGAATATTTAATAAATATGCTAAATAGTAATGAATAAAAATATACTATTATTATTACTAATTATTATTAATATATAGAATTATTATAGATTTTATTTTTAATTTCATTAAACTCCCAATTATTCAATTCTGAATATGCAAATTATTATGCTAATCAGCTAAACTCAGCTTCATTTGATTGGAGGAAAAAAATTTATATTAATTATCCTACCTTTACCAAGTGAGAGAGCTTCCTCATTCCCTTTTTCTGCTTCCAAGACCTGGAATTCATGGTTCTCATTCATCGTTTCCAGATTCACAACAGGAAATGATTTTAAATCCACAGGACTGTTTACTCGTTTCTGTTCCTCTTCCAACTTTTGGTTTAGTTCGGCAAGTTTTTCCTTTTTGATGGATTTCACTTTCTTTAATGATTTACTTAATGACGCTTTATGTATCTGTTGCTTAGCCTTCTTAATGAGCTCATTTGGCCTCCGAACAACTGTTTTGACTTTCTCTTGGCTGAAAATTGTACAAATCTCATTGTCTTTGTCCACTTCATCGTCCATCTCCATAGCAACCACAGACGATGTCAAATCAATATTGTTACCTTGTGTGGTCTCCTCTTTGGGCCGATTAAAACGCTTGCGGTCGTGTCCGAGTAACTTAGCAACTGACGATTTCAGAAACACTTTTCGCTTTGACCTGCGTTCAGGCACAATAGGTGAAGCACCTGAGTTGTCTTTTACTTCGATCTTTACTGCAGGGGCAGAGAAATGAAGATCACTAACATCAGTTTCCTGAGAACTAGCAATACTTTCTTCTGCTTGTGCTAGATTTTCCTTGACATCAGCGTCTACGACTTGTATTCCGTCATTTCCACCTTCCGGCAGTCTTACTATTTCTACTTTCTCAATTTGTTTTCCCGGAGCTGACCTTCTCGCGCAAGCCTTTTTCGCTTTTTTAGTCAATCTAGAAGCCATCTCCATTACTTTAGACTGTTTTGTCCTACTTTTCAAACACAATGGTGGAGAGATTGACGCCTTACTTTTTTTTTCAGTCCTGCCCGAGTTTGTTCTTTTCTTTGACAAACTGACTTCATCATCAACTGAAATTACTTCCAGCGGCTTTGCTTCCTCCGAGGCGAGACTCACAGCAGACCTTATATCAGGGGTTGAGTCAAGCCGTGGCAGCTTCGGTTTCATACTAGATATAATCTCCTCATTTAAAAACCGCTTACTCGGTTTAATAACCCGTGACGATCTTGCGCTGACTGTCGGCAAGACAAATTTACGAGGCACATTCTTAGGTAAGGTATTGAAGGGAGAATTTCTTTCACTGTTCGAGGACACTGATGAAACCTCGGGTGAGCAAGGCTGAGAAATTGGTATCTTCCTCGGCCTCCCCCTACCCCTTGGCACCCTTATACAGTCTGTGTTTTGCAGCACACTGCTTAGCTGTTTCTTAGCTTTCCCATTCAATTTACTACTACGTTGGAATCTGTGTTTTGACTTCTCTTTAAATTCTGGGCTTATTTTAGGACTTTTCAACTCCAGAGGATATTTACGCGGTCTACCGCGCTTGGCCTTTTGCAGTAGTTGCTTAGCGACATTAGTATCTACTTTTTTCATTGGAGGGATAACCCTCACAGGCCGCAGCTTTCCCCTTTTGCCTTTACCCAGGGTTCTTAGCTCTAGATCTCTTTCAAGTTTGTTCAGCCTCTTCTCATTCAATGACAACCGTGTACGCTCAGATCCATCACATGAGCTTGACTCTGATATTGATCTTTCATACTTACGAGGCCGCCCCGGACCACGATGGCGCATAATAAATTCATTCCCACTCTCCGAGAGCACCTTTTCATATATCGACGGCCGACCACGCCCTCGTACGATTTTAGCTTCTTTGCCATCGTTTGCAAGTCGTATTTTCAGTTTTTTCAAAGGTGGCAAATCCGCAAGCCTCTTCACTTTTTTACCAATCACAAATCTTGGAGGTTCAGGAGACAGGGAAATTTTAGGAGACTGATCACCAGATTTTGTTTCTTTTTTATTAAACAGCACACCCTTCTGCATCTCAGGAGTCAGACTCAACTTCGGTGGAGACTTTCTAACCACAACATGATCATTAAGGTCCTTCACCCGTTTAATAATGTGCGTAGTCGTTCTGAACTCAGTGAGTTCTTCCCTTTTCAAGTCCTTGTACGATTTTCTGATCAATGTTTTCAATCGTCCCCGAGTTCGTTCCGATGCTGGCAATGCTTCAAGGCTCTGTCTGGCATGTGAAAGTCTGGTTGTTATTGACCCCTTTTTAAGAGTTTCTGAGGTAATAGGAATGCTAGGGATTTCGGCATGGCGCCTTGAGGTGCGGCGGTAAGCCCGAATTCCAACTTCTTCGGCAGAAAACCCAACAAACTCTTCCTCCTTAAACGTCAAAACGAAAAGATAAACTTTAGTCAAAGTAGTAGATTGTGCATTTAGTCACAATTAAGGAAAAATTATAGAACAGAAAATTCTACAACAGGCTAATCAAGATAAGCAAAACAATAAACCTAAAGAGAGCTAGCTCTGTGTCTTGCTATTATACTGACATTAAAACAATTCAGTTAATTGAACAAGTAAAACACAAGCACCTTCAGATATTAACCTTTTCACTACCAAACTCACTCACTCAAATTTTTCTGCACTTTTTTTCTTATATTCTTCAATATTTCTGGAAATGAATCTCAATTTTGGAGCCAACAGACAAAATTTAGGTAAATTTTCAATTTTTACTCAAAATTTTTTGCTGTTTTTGTCCCAATCTTCTGAAGGAAAGTGCAGACTATAAAGGGACTATTATGTGAATTTGTGATGAAATGAGGGAAGTGGTGGTGAAAAGGTCAACCCTACGTAGTGCCATAATTCTTCCAGCCAAAATTCTGCATTTTTTTATGTTTGTTTTTTTTTATAAATTTTTGACCACATGGACATTCCAATTGGCTATAGATTTTGAGAAAAAAAAATTGTGTTTTATTCTGTAAAAGTTGACTTTGGCAATAAAAAGTTGTAAAATGTGGACTACATTTTGTGTGAAGCTTTTGTTTGCCATACGAAATATCATGCTTTATATAATAAATGCACAAATTAAGACAATTGTGCAATTGTTTTGCAAATTACCAAATTTGAGAGTTCCTTAGATTTGGTTATAGTTGAGTTTTCAGAATTTTAGGGTGCATTAATGATTTGATTTCAGATATCACTCCTGAGCTACATCAACAAAATAAACTCATTACAGTACACCTAATACTGTGTCTTTTTAGCTAGCATGTTATTTTAGCTACTTTAACTAATCTGTAATTTCGCTAATTCAAAATGTTGCTAATTTAAAATACAATGAGATTGTTGGCATTTTAGCTAAATTAAGATACTGCTAAATTATGCACAGTCAAATTGGCAGAAATGGCTTGAATCTATTTCAACATGTTTTACATTAGTTTTAAAAGAAATTATTTTTCACCAGAATTAAGTATTGGTACTGTATCAGAGGATTTTCACCTGACCCAAAACTGTAGTTGCAAAATTTGTCTAATGTGTTAAAAATTTAAACCACAATTCAGAGTAAATTAGGCCAAAAAACTAAACACTGTGTTTCTAGTAACTTTTGAAAAAATTGAAAAGTTTATTTTATGCAAATGACTAAAAATTATTTATCTATTTGCAAATTAGTTAAATTCAATCTACCAATGTAATTTTTGAGTTCATTTACTTGCTTTTATGTAGGGAATGACTAGTACTTAGTTATATCGAAGAAAACTAACTTGGATGTCATTTTCATATCTGTAGTTAAACATTTATGTTCAAATAAAAATAGAAATCATTATCAAATATTAAATTTCAACTACACACAAAATATTACATAATAACAAAAATTTCTCGTCTAGTAATTTTTTTAGGCGTTACCAGAAAAATCGTTTTATTTGGCCTTATTAAAACGGTTGTTTTGATAAGAAACCACTTTCGAGAGAAATCGCGTCATTGTAAACACAAGTACAAGTATAATCAAGTATATTGCATCTACCATCCAATACTATGTGATAAAACCATGCCATATTTTCGATATCACATCCCAATATCACAAACTCTATCTACAATTTGATATATTTTCATAACAGTTTAAAATGTGGTGAATTGAAATGTTTCCACAATATACCTATAAATTTCAGATACTCGTCAACGAGTTTTTTGTGCTTTAATGTTGAATTTGTGGACATAACAGTTTCCAATTCTCCCAACCCCATCTTGACAGCGCTCACGATTTGTTTCTCTAATTGTGCCATTTGCCAATCTCGCATCAGTTGTGTTTATCACTGATAAAATTACCACACAATTGTAGAATAGAATTATTTTCCAATCGCAGACGATTAACTGAAGGTAAAACTGTGTTCAAGGTGAGTTGTCCCAATATGCAAATGAGACCCAACATGCTAATAAGGTTAGAGCACGGACACGCAAATAACAAATGATGTTATGCTTACTATTGAGAAAATAGTTGTGAATCAAATAGATAAATAAAATATCAAAACGTGGGACCCATGTTACCAGATTTATCAAACTAGTCAGGTGTTTTTCTAGAAAAAACTGCAAGAGGGAGCACTGTAATTCAGCGGCGCTTCCAAGTGGGGGGAGATAGGGTTCCCCTACCTGGGTCTGAAGGGTTTTTGATAATTCTAAGTTAAAATAAAGCATTCTATGACTTCCTTGGGGTCAAAATTACTATCAGACAGGTCACAGTTGAAGACTGTGGCCACATGTGATCCCTGGTCAATCAGAATGTTATGGTTGCCCGAGGATCTGCTCCCCAGGATAAGGGGGCGCATGGCCGTTGCATGAGGGTGCTGCGTCCTGTTCCTTTGTTTAAAAAAAAATCCTTGCTAGTGTTATAATTTTCACATATTCCGAGTCAATATGAAAATTACTACACTCGTTTAATAAATCTGATATCATGGGTAACCAGGGTTACTCGTAAGATATCCTCTAAATATAACCACGTAATCTCACCCAATCTAACATACCCCCCACCCCCAGTACTGCCAATGAACTATTTGGGTTTTTATTTTAGTTTTCCTATTTGTAAGTTACATTATATAGCGTTATTTCTTGAAGTAATATCGTTTCTAATAAAAATAAATAACATAAGAGTGGCTACCATATTTGTTCCATTAATAAGCACATATTACACGTATTTCTATAATCAAAATAAATATTATGTCAATATTTCAGTATACAACAATTTTGATTTGTGGTTATGCACTTCTATTGCAGATGCGCTTCTAATAAAGCAAATATGGTATTGTTTTGTTTTTGTCATGACCAGAAAATCAGAAGTATTACTGGATTCAATTTATGGTCCAGTATCTAGGATTTCGTAATCAATCGTTATGTTCGGTGCCGCTTCAGTATTACTTCACCATGGTCACGAGCCAGCCATCTGTTCATTTATTATTTTGTAAAGACAAAAAAACAATTTTCACCGCAATTTTGGAAAAAGGTAATAAATCTGGTATATCAAAATTGTCACCTGCAGAGCATTTATGATACTATAAACGCAATTTTATTGGTATTTATATTTGCTAATTTTGATATTCCATCATAATTATATAAATTAACTGACTTTACATGTTTACATAGATTTAATTCATCAAATTTCACTTTACAATTAAAATAATGAAATTAACACCCAAACAATAAGTAAAGTTGTAGATCCGATAAATTTTATTTGTAGGGGGTGATCTCATATTCAAACACCTGGGTCAAACCTGGGTTTACCCGACTTGCCCTATTCAGACCTACTAGACCTAAAATATGCAAATTAGTAGTAGGTTTGAACCTAACCTCCTGATTAACTGCCCATTAACGCCCCCACTGAAACAAACAACAGAGAACAAAGAAGAACAGACCTAGG